AGCTCCTGCACGGCAACAATAGATACATGTCGCATGTTGTCCAGAAGATCCTTGGCCTGGGGCCATCCTGAACTGTTGAAACTAACCATCATCAGCGACTTGCGTCGCGAACCACGAAGTCCTCGCCGCTGACGGTGAGCTGGCTGATCGCTGGACCAAGTCATTGAAGATAGCCTCTCGCCACTCTTCGTAACAGCAACCTGCACAGCTGCAGAGCCATCATCAGTGCTCGGTGGTCGGTACCCTCTGGCCGCAGGCTGGGTGGGCAACGCTGAGCAGTGCGTACCATACGGCCCCAATTGGACCGCAGGTCGGTACCCTCTGGCGCTGCCAAGTCCCTTCTGGACGGCTGAGCAGTGCGTATCACCGAGCGATGGCAAACTAGTAGTGCCTGTATTAGTCGATGCTGAAGCCGAGATCCTAGGGTCACCCGACAGTGCATCACGCGGAGAAAGTAATGAAGGCTGGTCAGCATGCAGTGGCTCATAGTCATCTCGACCTGGGTCGAAAGGCCTGATAGCACCGTCGCTGAACAACCGAGGCATGTCGAAAAACTGTATGTCGTTACCCAGCGTCGTCGTCCATGTCGGACTCATCAGTCCCAGCAGCATCGTCGTGTGCGGCCAGAAGCTCGTCCCATGGATGTGTAGCTGGGATACCAGAACCAGAGGCCACAGCGGGCGTCGCATGAACCCGTCGGTGCTGTGCCAAGGCCGTCTGCAATTGGGTGACATGTGTGCTGAGCGATGCGCAGAGCGCTCCAAGGTTCTCGGGCGTGGTAGAAGGCGCTGCCTGCACAATCTGCTCCAAGCGCTCGAGAGCGCCCGACACGTTCCGATCACCACCTTCATCTGGGGCTGAACGCCCTGTAGCCAGTACTGCAGCACGTGCCGTGGTAACCTCTGAGTGAATCGTCGCCAGATCCGCCGTCGCAGTCTGCAGCTCAGCTGCTTTGGTGTCATACTCTGCTTTGAGCTTGTCCACCTCACTCTGTAACGCGGTAACCTCCCGAGTCTTTGCAGCCTGTCGATCCAGAGCTCGGCGGAGAAGATCGTCAGGCGTTCGTTGTGACCGCTCCGTGGCCTCGGCGGCCTGGAGCTCCTTACGTGCAGCGACCACCAAGCCACTGCTATCATCAAGGCCCAGACGACGCAAAGCTGCCACTGCCTTGCGCGCTCGAGTGACTGCCTCAGATGCCGATGGGTCCTCTGAGGCCTCCTTCTCTCTGTCATCGCGGGCCTTGTCCTTGCCCCGCCCAGAAGACGGTGGCCTCGACGGTCGGCGCCGTGTGCGGTCTGGAGGCCCTGCGGGGTCTGGCTGACCCGACTTGTCCCTGCCGCACATGTAGCACCGTGCCGATGTGGCGAAGTTACGAGCATAACCACACTGACGAGTAGCAGTACACGACCAGCGCGGCTCACGCGGGTCATCCCGCTGCGATCCACGGCCCCCTTTGCCGCCTCCCATGAACTGGGAGCCGTGGTGTTGTGATAGAAGATGACGCGCACGATCCAGGCGCAACAAATGCCGCGCAGACTGTCGTAATCGTCGCTGGCGACGATGCCACGCAGGTGACCTGGACCTCGCTGTCGTCCTTGCCTCACTCCGTCCGCTCCTGGGCAGACGCGAGGCAACCAGAGCGCCCCTGCCTATCGCGCGCACGGGGCCGCGGGCACGGGGCTGGGCGCAGGCAAAACGCGACACGGGGAAAGGCCTCCCGTGCCTCAAGCCCACGCCTTGAGCCAAAATGGCTACGGAGGCGGAGGAGGAGGAGCACGACGAGGACGAGGAGGAGGAGGAGGACGAGGAGAAGGAGGAGAGGAGGGGCGCCCTCGTGCCCTCAGGCCGCCCTCCGGGATGAGGGCGGCCGCTCGGGCCCCGGCCGCGCCGCGCCGAGCGCGAGCCGCGTCCCTCCCCCCCCCCCGTGGGGCCCCGCGGCACGCTGCGGGAAGGGCGCGGCCCGCGACAGCGGCCGAGGACGGGCAGAAGGGGACGGATGCAGGGGCAGCCTTGAAGGGGCCCTGGGAGACACAAATAAACACACACACACAAATAAAACGATTCCCCATAGTTTCTTATGTGTTCTGGGTTTCTGTTTCCCCCCCACTTCCCATATTTTCCCATATTCTCGGGGGGATCAACGATAAATTGTGTCTGTGTGTTTTTCCCTCCTCAAGCCTGGGGAGACTGCTCACCCCTACCATGCGGGCTGGCTGGTCCCTACACGCGGCCTTCCATCCCGCGCGGTCTTGCCGACGCTCTCCTGGGCTCAGGGGCCGAGGGGGACAGGCAGGAAAGGGCAGGATCGCATGCGCATCTTTGCCGTTGCAGGGCCTACTCGCGCTGGAGGCTGGTTCGATGGACCAACACATGTTGTGGACCACGCCAGGCATACAGCCTTTCCTTGGCTGATTGTAGCGTTTGGAAGGGGGGGGGGGGGGGCGAAGAAGGGGGGGGGGGGGCGATCACCTCAGGGGGGAATCGTGCACGGTTTCCCCCGGGGCCGTAGGCGATCCGAGGGGGAGGTGGAGGAAGAGGAGGAGGAAGAGGAGGAGGAGGAGAGAGGAGGGAGGAGGGGAGGGAGGAGGGAGGGGGGAGGAGGAGGAGGGGGGGAGGAGGGGAGGGGGGAGGAGGGAGGAGGAGGAGGAGGAGGAGGAGGAGGAGGGGCCGCCTGATCCCTTCGGAAAAACCCTCCAGGGGGGGGGGGCGGGGGCGATCGCCTCGGGGGGGAATCGCCCGACGGGGGGGAAGCGGCGACACGCATGTGGTGGACGAGTTGCAGGCCTCCGAGAGGCCGCGAGGCCGCGCCTTGCTTGGCGGGGCAGGGCCCCGCGGGGCACCCGGGCCAGGATGGGAGAGGAGGGGAGGCAGAGTGCGGGGGGAGGGCTTCTTTGAAGGGGCCCTTGGACACACAAACAAATACACACAGATGACCGGATTCCCCATATGTTTTTCCACATGGTCTGGGTTTTCGTCGTCCCCCCCCCCCCCACTTCCCATACTTTCCCATATGTTTCTGGGAGTGGACGATTCATTGTGTCTGTGTGTTTCTTTGTCCCTCCCGACTCGTAGAAGGAGGCCGCCCCTCAAAGAGGCGCTGGCCCTGCCTCTGCAGGCAAGGCCCGCGCCTGCGGAGCAGCAGGGGCGCCTCCGAGGAGCCCTCCCCCCCGCCCCCCCCGCCCACCCCTCTGCGCGTGGCCCGCCCTCGGCCCCCGTCGCCGGCTCCCGGACGCCACGTGCCGCAGAGGACGAACGAAACGCCATCAGCATACGTAAACGTTGGGCGCTCCGCGCGGACTCCGGGGACCTGCGCTGGGGCCCCCGCGGCGACGCCTGGGCGATGGGGGCTCCATGCTCCGCCCCCATCGGCCCCCGTCGCCGGTTCCGGGCGATCCTTCGAAGTGAACATGGCACAAGCACAAACACGTTGGGCGCTCCGCGCGGACTCCTGGGATATCTGCGCTGGTGGGCGATGGGGGGTCCACCCATGCTCCGCCCCTTCGGCCCCCGTCGCCAGTTCCGCACGATCCTCAGAAGAAGATACGTGGCACAAGCATAAACGTTTGGCGCTCCGCGCGGACTCCTGGGACCTGCGCTGGAACCCCCCCGGAGCGCGGCAGGGGCGGCGCCGGAGGCGCCGCCGCGAGGGCCCAGCGCGGATCCAAGAAATCGGCGCGGAGCGCCAGACGTTTATGTTTATGGCGTATGTTCCTCTTCGGCTTCTGGCACTCCAGGAAGGCCCTCGACGAGGCGCGGCTGCGTGGGAGCCTCCCGGGGCGAGAAACACTCTCCAAGACACGTCCTGCCCCCCCCCCCCCTCCCTCCTCGACAGAGGCGAAGGCAGTCGTCACGCTGGCTCGATCCCAGCGGCTCGGCACCACGCCGCCGGTCGAGGCCAGGCGCGGGGCCGAAGCAGGCACAACAAGGGGCGGGAGAAGGCGCGGAGGGGAGGGGAGGGGCGGCCGCGAGGGGCGGAAACACGCGCTCAGGGCATGGAGTTCTTGTGCGTGGGCGTGCCAGGGCACGGGCCTGCAGGGCCCAGGCCTGCAGGGCCCAACTGAAGGGGCCCTGGGACACACAGATGAATACACACAAGTAAACAGAATCCCCATATTTCCTGTTTTTGTTCTGGGTTTTTGTCTTCCCCCCCACTTCCCATATTTTCCCATACTTTCTGGGGAATCGGCGATTCATTGTGTCTGCGTGTTTTTTTCCCCTCCCTCACCAACGTTCGTCACGCACGTGGTCGATGCTTCCCCCCTGAGCCTCATCCTCCCCCTCCCGCCGTCAGGGGTCAAACATCGGCCCGTGGGCCTCTGCGGGGGTGCGTTCTGACGGCACTTCGGAGGCGGGTATGAGAAGCACACATAGCAAAAACAAAACAACAAAAACCCTCGATGCAATCTCCGCCTGGCGTCTCTCGACGCAGTCGCCGGCTGGTCCATGAAGATTCTGGGGCCTGACATGGGGCGACAACGACCAGCGTGAACAAAATGTGACGCCAGGATCTCGGGGGTTTGGACGCCCCCCCTGACGCCCCAAAACCTCCGACTTCTTGATTATTGTCATAACGGCGACCCCCAGAGGTCTCGATACATCCGGAGCAGTGTCTTGACGGTCCCGAGGCCAGGCAAATGTCCCAGAAATCGAAAACTGAGAAAACCTGCCCGTCGCGTCTCAATGACCCGAGGGCGTCCGGGGACGCGGCGACCTCTGAAGGGAGCGGCGCCCCGTGGGAGGAGGGAGGAGGGGGAGGTGGAGGAGGAGGGGGAGGAGGAGGAGGAGGAGGAGGACGGAGAGAGGAGGCGGAGGAGGAGGAGGAGGGGAGGCGGAGGAGGAGGAGGAGAAGGACGAGGAGGAGGACGAGGAGGGGGAGGAGGAGGAGGAGGAGGAGGGGAGGAGGAGGAGGAGGAGGGAGGAGGAGGACGGGGAAGCCCGAAGGCGGCCAGGCACCTCCCGGGAGGGCCCGCTACGCAGGCTTCTGAAGTCGCCCGAGGGTCCGCGCGGCCGTCGCCGCTGGTGGTGCCGCCCGCGGTGGTGGCGCGCCCGAAGGAGCCTGCGGGGAAGAGCTGCAGCTGGTGGGTCTGTTATCCACCACCAGAGTTGGAGGGGGAGGGGGTCCTCCTCCTTCTCCTCCTCCTCCTCCTCCTCCTTCTCCTCCTCCTCCCCCTGCTCCTCCTCCTCCTCCTCCTCCTTCTCCTCCTCCTCCTCCTCGTCCTCCTCCTCCTCGTCCTCCTCCTCCTCCTCCTCGTCCTCCTGCTGTTGGTGGTGGTGGAAGACAGGCACAGCGGCAGCGGGCAACGAGGTGGCACAACAACTTTCGGCGGCTACAGTGGAGGCCAGTCCACAACAGACCTTCCACAAGAAACCCAACCCTGAGACCCCAGGATGTCCATTGATTCTTGGTGTGGGAGCGTTACACTTTCCATGGGGGAACCATCGAAACCCAAGAAACCCAGGGCACCCTGGAGGCAAGCAGAGTGCTTCTTGGCATGGGCCCCCTCTGTTCTCATGGGAGCCTCCCATACCATCTTGTTGGCTCTCGCGAATCGACGCTGGTCGACGCTAAATCGATGCTGGTCGACGCTACATCGACGCTAATCGACGCTAACCGACGCTGAATCGGCGCTATCTCATCGACTCCCAGACGCTAGCCGACGCAAGAAACAAACTTACGAGGGTACACAAGGTTCCCATGATTTGCTACCGAAAACAACTCGACCTCTGGGCAGTGCGAGATGAACACCAAGCGTAATATACAGGCCCCCTCGCGTTGCGAAAAGAACACGGCGGGAGGTCTTTTGTTATTTTCGGCCTCCGGAACCCCTCGCCAAGCTTCGGAACCGTCAACCATCGACTCAAGGTGAGAAACCGGTCCTGGGGAATGTGTCGAGACCTCTGGGGGTTGACGACATGGAAACATTATGACGTCGGGGGGCTTGGTATACAGAAATCTCGGCCCTTCGCCAGCGCAAGACCATCCCCCTTTGAGGTAACGCAGGCATGGTGCACACGCAGACGCGCGGGTTCAGCGCGAGAGGGGGGGATGACTGAACTCTAGCATTAAGTGGGCGACGAAAATAAACGGGTCTTGCGCGAGATGACGTGGCGACCTTACGCCACGGCTTGCGCGGGCCTCTGGCGCGGCACGCCACATTGGAAACGAGAGCGCTCATGCGCGACCTTACGCGGGTAACTTACGCGCGAGCATCGGCGCAGTCGAGCCTGCTTATGTTTTACGCGTCGCCCAAATGATTTTGCGGCTGGGTGGAAGCAGCAGCCGCAGAGTGACTTGACTGGCGAGTTGATAACAATACGAAGTCACACAAAGACTTAACTCTCGAAATAGCTTCTGCGTCCCGTGCTGGTTTGAGTGTCTTTCGGGGATGCAGCTCTCTCTCTCGGGATATATGCAAAGAGCGGCGAGAGGGGATTCAGCTCGACGAGTGGGCCATTAGTCCGTGCTTGAGACCCACTCGGCAGAATTAAGCGGTATTCTGCCGGATGGGGCTGGTTGACGACCACGGATACACGAGCGCAGACGCCGAATCTAATCTTCCAGACGCTGCATCCTAAGATCAGGAAGTGTCTGGCCCAGGCCTGAAGTCGGACATCCGTCGCCGAGACATCGGCCAGCCCCCTTCTCGTCGCGACCAGACGAACGACGTGCTTTGATAGTCTTCTCACCCAGGAGGCCCAGGCAAAGCCACGGGGCCGTCGAAACACTCGGGAGCTGCCAAGGGGGGGGGGGTCCCAAGAGGGGGGGGTGCAAATCACAACCAGCGGAACGTGCGCGGCCCAGCGGGCGGGCCAGGGACGTAATGAAACACGAAGAGGCGCCATGACATGTGGGAAACTATCATGGCCCACGCCATGATATCCACCCCCCCCTGGTCATCACCCCCCTCTTTTCCGCCCCCGAGCCACTCAGCATGAAAAGTCGTTCCCGGGGAACGGGTGCTTGGACCTCGGGGGGTTCCCCGAGGCCTCTTTTGGAAGGCCTGGCGGTGTCGAACACGGCTCCTCAGGGGCCGCCAGGCCCTTCCAAAAGAGGCCCCTGCCCTCTGTGATAGGGCAGTTTTCCACCACCATCACCACTACTAGAAGTAGGACGGGGGAGGAGGGAGGATGGGGGGATCCTCCTCCTCCTGTTCCTCGTCCTCCTCCTCCTGCTTCTCCTCCACCTCCTCCTCCTCGTCCTCCTTTCAAAACCATGTCAAAAAGGGCTCCACGGCGCGCGGTGTGCCGAAGCCCGTCACAAAGGATCCTGCTCGTGGGCGCCGAACGTTTCCTCCGTGTCTTTTTTGCGAAGAGCACCCCTTCCCTTCGGCTCGCAAGTTGATGGGTGCTCAACCTTCTCTGGTCTGCATCTTCTCTAGCTTCGAGCTTCCTCCGAACAGGATGGTCGGCTGATCGGCCTCGCCTGTCACGCGAGGAGGCGGTGCCTCTCGAGGGCCTGCCATGGAGCACGGCGCTCCACATTGCCTTCAGCTGCTGAGGGTCTTGGCCTGGATGCCGGGGGGTCGCTGTCTTGCAGCCCGCCCTTCGGCCGCTCAGGGGCCGCGGACTGCCAGACCGTTGCTTCTCTCCTTCGCCTTATGCTCGTTGCCTTCTCGTTGCCGTGGTCGCGTCTTTCTGGCAGCCCGCCCTTCGGCCTCCTGGCTGTGGGCTGCCCCTCGTCGTAGCGCGCACGCTCTAGCTCGTTGTTGCTATCTGGCGGGCCGCCCTTCGGCAGCTGATGGGCTGCGGGCCGCCTGTGCCTTTCTTCGCTTCTCGGCGTGGGTGCTTCCCGTATATCAAAGCTGCTTTCGTGTCTTGCTGGCAACCCGCCCTTCGGCCTCCTGGCTGCGGGCTGCCGCGCAGGTCCATGTGCACGTTGTCGTTGTCGTTCGTCTTCTCGGGCGCCATTGGACTGGAGTCTGCGGTCGCTTAGCCAACGGACGTTGTGTTCTTGAGCTCTCACCTTTTCCGCCCGTGCCAGATGCAAGATCAGTCGCTGAAGCCCCATGCTCACGTGGCGACGTATTGCTTAGTAGCCGCGATGGCACACTCGGACTTTGCGCTCTAACGCCTTCCAGCGTACGTGGCGACATTGTGCCTAGTAGCCCTGTTGGCACACTAGGACTTTGCGCTCTAACACCAGATTCCAGACCGTGCGGCGCGATGTATGGAGAGGCTGCTTCCGTGCGATGGCCCGCTCCGCCGCGTGGAGTCTCGTGGGCGTGCTTGTGGTGCCTGCAGCTGTGGTTGGCGGCGGTGTGGTTGCCGGCGGTATTGTTGCTGTTGTCACCACTGGTGATGCCCCCCTCCTTCCAGTAGTTGAGGTCTCTGTCGAAGCTGGCGTGCGTGACATAGGCTGGTGCTGCGCTTGCTACTCTGAAGCCCCATCTCGCAATGATCATCTCGTCGAGCTGGGCAGCTGCGGCGAAGTCGAAGTCCTCGGTGGCCGTCACCTTCAGCATGGTTTCGTGCGTGGGGTTTTGTCGAATTAGCGACGATCAAGATGGACCCGAACTCGTAGTGACTAGCCGTGCTGCGCGTCGCTGCCGCGGGCTTGATGATGCGGTGGCTCTCGGGGGTCGCCCAGAAGATGGAGTCCTCGGCGCGTAAAGCGAGGAAGGGTACCTACGCTTCGGCGGCTGCGTGTATGGTCGCGCGGATATCTCTTGTGACGGAGCTGGCTGAGTGCAGCTCGTTGGCTAGTTTTTCTGTGGCGTCGGCTGGTCCCCGTGGCGTTTCCTTAGAGCGGCAGCTACGAGCGTGGCTGGCAGTGACCTCGGCGTTGTCGTGGCGGTACCTAGTCTTCCTCCGTGCCTAGGCGTTTATCGCGGCGATCTCTCCTCTCCTGATCCTGTCGCGGATGAAGTGTAAGCCGTGATCCAATGTCGGTGAGTCGCAATCGTTGTTGGAGTCGATCGCGCAGTAGTCCAGTCAACTCACGCTGGAGACTGCACTGGTGACCACGATCTGTTGGAAGTCGCCGGCTTGCCGAAGGCGGTCCGTGACGAATGCCGCTTCCTTTCGTTCGGCCGTCTCGGGTGACTTGGGCACGGTCGGTTGATGCGTCGTGGATTGGATGGCGGCGGAGATCTTCGGGAGGGCGGGCGGCGTTTCCTAGAGTTGGAGCGGTGTGATGTCGATATTGTAGGCGGGTATACCGTTGGTGGTCGCGTGTCGGCCGCTCTTGTGGCTTGCTGCCGCGGTCGTGGCAATGGCTTCAAGGTTGTCCGCAATGTGTTGTTCAGTAAGCGGTTCCATCATCGCGGCGCGCCAAACGCAACGTGACTTGCGACAGCGGTGGGCTACCGCAAGGTGCTCCAGGAGCCCCGGTAAAGCATGGAACTCCGTCTGGCAGCACCTGCTCGCCGAACCCGTTGCCTATCGTCGAGGGTTCTCGCAGTCGGGGTGGCCCCTTCCCACGTGCACGGCCATGCCCTGCTTGGTGGCTGCGCGGCCGCAGATGTAGCAGACGCACTTGGTCTTGACGTCGTCGTCAGACTGGTCAATCTCGACGGTGCTCGATTGGGTCAGGGGAAGCTGGATGACCTTCTGGAACTTCGCAAACTTGGCCTGGTCTCTCATGTCGTGCAGGTAGGCCTTTATGGCTGCCTTGACCGCGTTGGTGAAGTGCTTGGGCCTCTGGCGGGCCCAGTTGATGATGTCGCTGTCTTGCTGGTTCTTGATCGGCCATCTGTCTTGTAGGAGATGTCCCTGACAGGAATAAAATCTTGCTCGCGGAGGTGGCTCCATGTGCCTCTGAGTTGCCGCTGGCTATCAAGCAGCTGGAGTAGGACCGCGGGGGCGTGGTTCAGGAGACGCGGTAGGTAGCGTAATCGGGCTGCCGTTTGGTGTGTCGAAGTCGGGGATGCCCGTCTTCGCGATCGCCTCGCTGTTGGTAGTGCGCCACTCGGTAGGGGCCCGTATACTTGGCCGCAATGTGGCTGCGGTCCTTCTCGGTCAGGCGGTTCCAGACATGGTGGTTGTAGGTGAGCGACGAGGTCGAGAAGGCGTGGGCGCACTTCATCTTGGCCTTCGTCGATCGCTTCTTGCGGCGGAGGATCTGCTTCTCCAGAGGTCTTGCAGCGCCGAGTGCTCTGCTGACTCTGAGGCAGATCTCGGGGGCCATGGCCCATCCCGCCGCGATGATGGTGCCGCGGGCATTCTGCTGGGCCACAAGCTGAACTTTGACGGGGGGATTCTCGAGCTCGATGAAGGCGACCTTATCCCCGGCGATCTTCTGGCGCTCCTTCCAAGCCCCGCTGCCGTAGCGCATGAGGATAGCTTTTGTCTTGTCAGGGTGGGGCGTGAGTCCATACTGGAAAGCTGCTGTGCGCAATCTGGTGGGTGAAAGTCGCGTCGCCTGAATCAGGTCGCTAGCACGCGCGGTCAAAAGTGTTGTCTGGCAGGTCGTCGACGAAGGACATTTTCCTGAGCACGGTGCCCTCGTGAGGTGTTGCCGAGAGGCGTGGGATCTCACATGTCTCGATGTCGTGGCCTCCTAATGGTTGGTTGCTGTCTGCGGCTTCTGCCGCTGATTGGTCGATTGCCCGCAGCATGACAGCGAAGTGCGCGTTGAAGGCGACATCGGAAGACGGCGCGGCAGGCCCGGCGCTGGTCCGTGGTAGCTGGTAATGCATGGCGCTCTTATCCGTCATCATATTATAGGCGTGGTGGTCGGCCAACCCTGTCGCGAGGCCGGTGCGGCTCGCACGAGCCAAGAGAGGCCTCGATCACGTCGCCGATGGCCTCGGCGCCCCCGCACGGGTCAAGGCAGGTACGCGGTTCGCGCTGCAAGAGTAGGGACAGGGCGAGTAGGATTCTGGCTTGGATGGCTCCCAGGGTCGCGACGGTGCTGTCCAAGAGGCGGTGCAAGACTGTGGTCGGGCGTCCGCCTGAGTCCATGTCGCAGAAGGCCTGAAACACCGCTGGCGTGGGTGGTTCCTAATGCTTCTGGCACTTGCAGGCTGCAGGCTGCCAGCATTTGGGGCGGCGCCTGGTGGCGGTGGCGGGGATGCAGGCCTCCTTGACGTGCCACGCTGCCGGCATGTTCGGTCGCTCCCTTCTTGGTGGGATCAGGGCGGAGTCAACGGCCTGGGCGCTGTCGTCTCGGGAGACTCCGAGCCCGATGGCCCACATGATGGTCGCGAAGACTGCCGTGTAGACCAGGTTGCCGGCGTCCAGTCCCACCGGCATGGAGGAGACGAAGAGGTACCCGTTCATGCTCCATCCTTTCCTGTCCTGCATGCTGGGATCCGCGGGCTGGTCCGCCACGCCGAACTGGTGTGGGTGCACCCCGAGGCACCAAAGAATGCAGGGTCCGAAGGCTGCGCAATACAGGAGTCACACGACCACGGTGTTGACGTCGTCCTCCAAGTCCTTCCAGCTGTAGTATGCAGGGAGTGGCAGGTCGGCGCGGGCCGAAGAACCCGCCTGTTGGGCTTGGCAGAGGTGCTCGTCGTCGATGCGCTGACTGTTGTGAGGGCTTGAGGAACGCAGGGGCGTCTATCTGCTCGATGAGGTCGTTGAGTTCGTCGGCGGAAGTAGGGAGCTTCATACAGAATCCCCTGACTGCGGAGTGGAAGGCCTCCCTGCGGTCGGGGAAGGTGATGCTACCCGATCGCGCATCGTCTCTGGATGGGCTGGTGGGGGCGCAAGAGCGGGGGCGCTGGGTGCGCTCCTCTGAGCGGGGGCGCTGTGGGAGCGCCCTGGGAATTCTTGACGCGTCGCGTAACCCCACCGGCCATTGGTGCACGGCGCACGTGGCCCACGACAGCCCAGCGGCTCTCCCCTGGGCAGGTGCGCAGGCCCCCCGCTGGGTGGTGCAGCCGTGGTCCCACGTAGTCCCCCCACATCCACTGTGGAAGGCAGTTGCAGGCTGGGTCTCTCACGACTAGGCTGCCGACGCCAGTGATGGTTCGACGCACCGTCTTCGAGCACTTCAGGTGCTCTGTGAGTGAGGCTTCCGTCCTTTCCCCTTCCTTCGTCGCCTCCTACGCCCGCCTCCTTCTCTGTCCTCCTCGCCGCGTTTGGCGGTGCCTTTCCTCGAGCTCTGTGCCGCCCGCACAGCGATCTGCCTTCTCGCAGGCTTGGTCTGTGGGGGCTGGCGCCACTGTGCGAGCCTCCACCCGCTTTTCCAGTCTGCTGCCGCCTTCAGTTCCCGGGTCGGCTCTAATGAGGTTCATTTTGTCCCTCGCACGTGCATTGCGGCGTTGGCCTATGTGCCTTCGTTGCCAATCGTCTCGCTTTGCGCCCCTGTCGAGATTGACCCGCTCCCTGGAACCGTCCTTGGAGCCGCAGATCAAAAAAGTAACCCCACCAGCCCATCCAGGGACGATGCCCTTCTCTGGCCGTCGGCGATGAAAGCGAAAGAGGTGTGGGTGATGGAGTCGGTCGCCATCTTGGATCTCGCTCCACACTGCGTCGCTTCCAACAAGTTGGGCAGCAAGTCTTTTCACTCGTGAGCGTAGAAAGCTGCCGTGCATCTTCCCAATGGTCTTGTTGAGCAGGATGTCTCGGTAGGACTTCTGCTGTTCTACCTCCTCCTCCTCCTCCTCCTCCTCCTCCTCATTCTCCTCCTCCTCCTCCTCCTCCTCCTCCTCCTCCTCCTCCTCCTCCTCCTCCCTCTCCTCCTCCTCCCCCTCCTCCCTCTCCTCTGTGTGGCAGCGGTGGGGGCAGCCGGGAGCGGTGGCCCGTCACTCCGAGAGGCCCCACCCGCGCCGCCTCTCCGCGGGCGCCGCCCATGAAGAGCTGTTTTCCACAGGGGGGCCGATGGAGAACAGTCAACGAATACGGTCGGGGCGTCGACCTAAGGAACCCTAAATAGGGGAAAACAAACCTACCTCGCTTTTGACCACCCTCGCTTCCAAGAGATACCAAGCGATGCCAAATTGCAGCCTGTACTGGTCAGGCTGCTTGACGAGGAGGCGCGTGGCATGGCTTGGTTTTGCCTGGAGGCGAAAGCGGGGTAGGTAATTCACGCTCTGACTAAAGAAGGAACGAGGCCCCTTTTTTCCATAATAAGTTGAACTTCCATTTCCTATCGAAAACAAATGGAAAACCTGAGGCAAGCCGCGAAACACTTGAGGAACGCGGAGCCCCTCCCCAACCAAAAGGGTTCCTTCTTCAGGGCCCCGACTGTATTCAAACATTCACAACCAGGACATTCGCCCGCCCCCTCGGGGCTTTTGGGCAACATCTGCAGATTTCTCGGGCGGGGGAGGTCTGGGGAGCAGCAGTATCGGTATCTCTCTGTCTCCCCACGATGGGGTCGGAGTAGATGGGGGCGGAAGATCGCGCCGCCTCGCCCGATACACCGTCGATGCATCGGCGATGCACCCGCGGCGTCGGCGGTGCATCGCCGACGCTGGTGCAGAAAAAGTCGGGCTCCACATCGAGCCGCATCCGCAATGCATCGACGATACGGCGCCAAGCTCTGGCCACATTCGCTCGGACCCCATCTGGGAGGCCTGGGCTCACGCGGCCCCCGCTTCTTAGTGGCAACTACTCATTGGTGGCAACTGCTCATTGGAACCAGACCCCCTCGAGTCGTGACAAAAATCAGGACGAAGCGCTTTTTGTGCCTCTGGGACTCTGGGGGCCCTCACCAAGCCTCGGGACCGTCAAAAACGACTCCTGATGAAAAACCTGTCCTGGGGAATGGGTCAGGGCCTCTAGGGGTCGATAAACAAATCATGAAGTCGGGTGTGTGGGGGGAGCCTTCCATGCCATCTTGCTGGCCCTTGCGAATCAAGGCTAGCCGACGCTAACCGACGCTGATCGACTCCGAATCGACGCTCATCAACGACGCTAGATGGGCGCCAATCGACGCTGCATCGGCGCTTTCTCGTCGACTTCTAGACGCTAGCGCCCGCTGATGCGCTCTGGAGACGAACTTGCTAGGGCATACAAGGATATTAGTTGCGAGCGAAGGCCAAGCAGCCGACTCAAGTCCAAGAGAACCCAAACGCGACCTCCGAAAAAACGCTTCCGCCGACTCAGGAGAGTCCAAGATGGAATCGATAAGCAAGATCGGCGATCGAAACGAATCGGAACGGCGCAAATCGGCAACAGAATCGGAAGTAGCCGAATGGGCAGAAACCGGCAGACTAGTACGGCCTCCATTGAGCAGACGAAGTCCAGACCGGAATCTGCAATCGAATCGGAATTCTATCTAAATCGAAACGAACCGAGTCGGATGAGCCCTGTCGACCCCTGCCTTCCGAACCTTCCGCGCAGCAACTGACGCCGCGGCGCGGCCGCCACTGCGGCCGCTCCGGCGGCTTCCGCTGCGCGGAATCTGCCGTCCTCAGATGTCCTCAGCCGCGCGGGCAGGGGCGTAAAGGGGAGAAGGAGGCATCTTAGAAAGCGGCCGCTTCTTACAAGGCCTGGGCAGTGCATCTGCAGACAAGGCCCACGCCTTCTGAGAAGCAGCCTCCTTCTACGAAATCTTCCCCCTCCCCCAACGCCCACGTCTGCGCGCGGCTGAGGATCTCCGGAGTATCGTGTGAGAATCACGGGGTCTTCGCCTCCTGCTCCTGTCCACGGCGTACCTTTTCCTATGCAAGCTCCTCGGCACCGCCTGCACGCCGGGCCCCGCCCTCTCCGGCCGCCTGAGGCCCCGCCCGCCTGCGCCCTGTCTCCCCAATTAAAGCTGCGCGTAGCCCGCCTAGCTTTTAGCGGAAGAGGTTCGCTCTCGCCCCGCCGACAAAAAAAGTGTAAGAATCACGGGGTCCCCGAAGTCCCGCCAACCATCTCCCAAAGGCCAGTTGTTCATCCCGGTTGGACGGTCCCGGGGGCCTGGCGGCGATGGCCCCTGGACGCCGAAGAAGTACCCAAACACCTTCTGGCGTGGTGTTTTCACGCTGGGAGGAGAGATGGGGACAGGGCGAACTTGCTAGGGCATACAAGGATGTTAATTGCGCAAATCGGCAGCAAAACCGGACCTGGGGATAGGGCGAGCTCGCGCACTGTGGAATAGCTTCGCATTTGCTCCCACACCCGGGAGCCCAGGCTGCCGGCCACTGTCGTCAGCAGGCCTGGGGGGGGCAACGCTGAGGGGGGGACCGGCTCTGGGGGAACACACCGAGCGTGAGCACATGGACAGATCGGCGATCGTCCCCCGATGGCGAATCCGCACGGCCCTGGGCGGGTCATGGGCCCGCGGACCCCTATCGGCGACGACTGATGGGCGATTGGGGGTGGCTGCGTCCCCCCTCTGAGCCACAAGCCGGGCTTCTGGCCAGATGGCTTTCGAGCCACAGGTTCCAGAGGAGGAGGAGGAGGAGGAGGAGGAGGAGGAGGAGGAGGAGGAGGAGGCCTGTCCCCGTTCCAGATGGCTTTCGAGCCACAAGCCGGGCCTCTGGCCGCCGTGAGGGACGCTCCTGGCACCCCCGGAGCGCCCTCGGCGGGGCGCAGCTGCTGGAGAGCCCCCCCGAGCCCTGGAAACCGCCGCGGTCAGACGAAAACGCAATCAAGACCTCAAGCCTGTCGGGGGGGCGCCAACATGGATTAGCGAACCCATGGATTTGGCGCGCCGTCGCCGAATCCATGGATCGGGGGAGGTGCCCTCCCCAAAATGCGGCCAGAGCAGCCTGGCTCGGCGGCGGGAACCCGCGATTCCCCATGGAAACGGGGCCCGTCGCTAATCCACGCACCCTTGATCCATGTTTGCGATCGCCTGAAACCTCGAGCCTCGAACCCCGAGGTCGATGCAGCCCCCCCTGAGCATATCCCCGCCCACTAGCGTTGCCCCCGAAGGCCCGTCCGCAGGTCCAAGGCGCGCACGGCGTGGTTCCAGCTGTCGGCCACGTACAGCCGCTGCGCGCCCGCGTCCACGGCAAGCCCGCGGGGGTAGTAGAGCCTGAAGACGAGGCCACGACCGGGACCCAGATCTCTCATTGCAACGGCCTTGCAGACGTGCTGCAGCGGATTTCTGCGTGGATTGTTGCCCGAAGCGGCGAGCGAAAAATGAAGTGAATTTCGCGTGGATGTGTTTGTTGTTGGCCTTCATTCCTTGCCAAGAACAAATCCACACGAAACTGACCTCGAAATCCGGAACGAAATGCTCCAGGACCCCCCCGGGGCAAACCCTATCGTTTTCCGAGCGAAATCCGCTCTGCGATGTTGGCGCGATGAGATCTCCGACGTGCGAGAGCGCGCCAGACGCCGCCCGAGCTAAGGGGCGGGGAGCCCCCCCCTGACCCACCGCCCCCCCTTGGCCGCCATCGGCCACCCCCCCCGGGTCGGTTTCAGCCTCGAGGGCTGTGCCCCGGGACCATCAGGCATCGATCTGGTGCAAACGCTGCACCACACGGAGGGGGGCCTGGACCTCTGGGCCCCCGCGGTCGGAACAATGCAGTCTTGGCGAATGTCTGACCTGTGGAGACGCTTCTCGTATCGGGAGCGGCCAAGAGAGAGAGAGAGAGACAGAGAGAAACGCGCGAGTCCGCCGGCCGGCGGGCCGGCAGGCCGCTTAGGGGCGGCGCGGGCGGGCCGGAGCCCGGTCATAGGCGCATGAACTTCAAGAGGGGGGTGTCCAAGAGGAGGGTGTGCAAATCATGACCGGCGGCATGTGCGCGGCCCAGCGGGGGGGCCAGGGACGTGATGATTTTTTTTTAGAGTTTGAGATCTCCGCAGGTTTTGGCTCCGAGAGATGTGCTGCAGTTTTTGTTTTGAGTTTGAGCTCCTTCGCCCGATGTGGCCGTGGACCGCCTGCAGTCGCTGTGGCCGAACCTCACGCTTGCTCCGGCTCTAGGCGCCAAGACATCTGGGGAAATATCATGGCCCACGCCATGATATCCACCCCCCCTAGTAATCACCCTCCTCTTTGCCATCCCCGATCGTAGAGGTTTCAGGCACGCGTATTGGGAACGACCAGGAAAACGCTTCTCGGGACACGCTGCGGCCTCAGGCAACCCGCTGCGGGGATGCCTGCCGCGGACCTGCGGAGACAGCTTCACGGAGAAGCTTCCGGACACGCGATTTTAGGATTGGACAGGAAAACGCTTCTCGGGACACGCTGCGGGTTGCTGAGATTCGGCAGATCTGGAAGGTGCATCGGGCGCCGCGGCCGTTCCAACTCGCCGGAGCAACGAAAATCCGGGACGCCTTCGAACGACTCATCCAAGCCTTCGACGTCATGATTTCTCATGACGAGGACCAAAACAAATCGCGACCCTTTCCCAAGGACAGATTCTCATCCCGAATACTGCTTTGACGGTCGCGGGTCCTGACGAGGGCGCCAGGACACAGGAATGTGCAAAAGTATCCATATCGAATCTAGCTTGGATCGCCGCGGGGGTTGCTAAGCGCATCCGGGGGCCACTAGCGGATCCCAAAGCAGGTTATATCTGGCCTAGCCTGGCGCATAATGGGTTTGCACAGGCCCTGGGTGGCCCATGGGGGCTGGATGGCTCCGCTGAGTGGGCGGAGCCCTCTCCGCCCAGATCAGTCACCCCCTGAGCCGCTTGGGGAATGCGGCATGTGCAGCTCACTCCTTGGCTGGACTGGGCCAGACATCCACTGATGGCCCCCCGTCACGGCGAACGCATATTGGACAGAGAACCAACAGATCAGGAATACATGGTCTGAGAACCTGGTGGAGCACCAACCGAGGCCTGCTCATGGACATCACCACCGCCCTCATCGGATTTCTTGATCGAGACATCGGAGCCTGCTCCGGAAGCACTCCGTCTCTGCCAATGTCAAAGAGACTAAGAGACGATCGCGGCAACCCCACACGGCTAGTCGCGACGAGGACGATGCGGACACCCCCCTCGAGTGTCACACCCGTTGAAAGGCGTTGCACCTCGAGGGAAAGGGCGCGGCACGCGCCGTAAACACTCAGCGCACCTCAGCGCAAGCCTTAGGTCGGGCATGTCCCCCTACAGGGGGATCTTGGACGAAAAATCAAAAATACCCCAAAAATGAATATCTTTAGAAATTCCTCCTGTAGAGGAACAGGCCCGACTTAACGCAAGCCAATGGCAATTCGCAACGGCGCTGGGCGTATGTAGCCGCGCCAAGGTCACGCAAGCAGGGATCCACGATTGTAACCCGGAGCGCAGCGCAGAGTCTGAATTCTGCTGGGCACATCCCCGAACGAACGACCCCACCGCATTTCATGAGCATTATGTGTGCGAGGGATTTCGAAGCAGCTTCCGCCCTGTTAACGCCAATTCGTGCCTATCGATGTCCCCAAGAGCGCCTATTAGCGCCTGTTGACGCCGATCAATGTCGGCGACTACTGGCGTATATTAGCGGCAACGAATAAGCAGTAATACGCGCTAGTACCTGACACCTGTCGCATTCCCTTAACGACCCCTGCGCAAATGCCATTGGGCCCGTCCGCGGCCTGGCCGAAGCCGCCGGGCCGCCGTCGCCCGCGGTGCCCGGCGCGCCCAGAACGCCCGCCAAGGTGGACAGCAGGCCAGAGCGCAGGTCGACCACGCGCACCGCGTGGTTGTAAGTGTCGGCGACGGGATCGGGGGCGTCTTGGCGGCGCGGGCGGGAGGATAAAGGGGAGGGGGGGAGGCTTCGTAGGAGGCTGCTTTTGAGAAGGCACCAGCCCTGCATCTACAGACAAGGGCCGGGGCCTTCTAAGGAGCAGGGGGTGCTTCTATAAGAAGCCTTCCCCCCTGCCCCCCTGCCCCCCTCTGCGCGTGGCCGCGCGTTGCCTGGCCATCCCGGAATGCTCTCTAAGGACACTTCGTGCAAGCCGCATCAGGTCATCAGAGCACTCCTTGGTGGGCCTATGCTTAAGTCGGGCCTGTCCCCCTACAAGGGGATGTTTGGTGCATTGTTTTTTTACCCAAACATGCCGCAAAAAGGTCAACAAAAATACGCACAAAATAATCACCGGACTATCTTTTATTTTACGCCGAAAATCTCCCTGTAGGGGGACAGGCCCGACAGAAGCCTATGGGGGGCATTGGGGCGCCTCGCCGCTGCCTGAAGAGGCCCATCTGGCGAAGGGCCTCTCTTGTTGCGCGGGGCCGACGGCAGGCGTGGGCTCTCGCTCTCCCCGAGCGGGCAGGAGTTCTGCCCAAATGTCCACTCCGCCATGGGTGAAGGGGCCTACAAACACACAAATAAACACACACGAATCACCAGATTCCCCATATCTTCCCATATGTTCTGGGTTTCTGCCTTCCCCCCCACTTCCCATATTTTCCCATATATTTTCTGGGGAATCGACGATCGATTGTGTCTGTGTGTTTTTTTCCCTCCTGAATGGACTGTCTGCGAGAGGGGTGCCAAACGGACGAGGCGCAGCGGGCATGGACCAGAAGCTAACATCTAGCCCTTAGGGTTATGTCGGGCGTGTCCCCCTACAGGGGGACTTTCGAAGACAAATTAAAAATACCCCAAAAAGACCCCAAGAAGGTCAAAAAATATGCAAAAAATATTCCCCAGACTATGTTTAGACTATTGTTTGACTATTATTGGGGTATGTTCTACCTTGCGTCGAAAATCCCCCTGTAGGGGGACAGGCCCGACGTAACCTTAGGGGCCAGGTGTTCATCCGAATCCGTGGCGCCGCGGGCGCCTGCGGCGAGGAGAACCCGAGAACCTTCCAGACACAAGCGGTGTGGAAGTTTCCAGCCCGACTTGTTCGCCCAGTTTCGGGCCCGGGGGCCCTCACATATGGATTCCGGCCAGGAAGAAGATCGCAGGGGGATGCGGTCCAGGGCCCTGGTCGCGATTTTTCAAAAGTGTGTCAGTATGTCAGATCCAGAGGCACCTCCCCCGATCCACTCCAGTGCACTCCAGGATCGAGGTTCGAGGATGAAGTTTTTTGGGCGCCTGCCCTCTTCTCGTAGCCATGGCTGGATTGCCATCGAAATTCTGGAATGGTCTAGCGGTCGAGTTTTGACCTCCGGACCTGGCCAGACCTCCTCGGGCCATGAAAAATAGACACCAGGCGTTTCGCTATGTTCTGCTTTCGGGGCCTTGCCAGGCCCAGGAACAGTCGCAAAGCGGCCCAGGAAGAAACTCTGGCCCCCAGAAGAGGTTCCAGATCTCTGGGGGTCCACGCTATGAACAATTCACGACATGGGGAGTCTGTTGGCGACGAGCGAAGGGGGGAAATGCGAAGGAGAAGGCCTTCCCAGAAGGCTCCGAAGTCCCCCGACCTTATGAGAAGTTGTCAAAGCTTTCCCCGAAGACACACAAACTTCTCAAGAGGCGCAAGGGCTTCTGAGAAGTTCCGCCGCCTTCTGATCGGGGGCGGCCTAGAGAGGGCGTCCAAGAGGGGGGGTCGCAAATCATGGCCGGCGGCATGTGTTCGGCCCAAGGGGGGGCCAGGGACGTCATGAAATAATGAGAGGCGCCATGAAGTCTGGTGAGATAATTATCATGGCCCACGCCATGACTCCCCCCCCCTAGTCATAACCCTCCTCTTTGCCACCCCCGATCTGAGAATGCCTTCTCCTCCTCGCTCGCCGCAGGGTCTGGGCCCCCAACCCCGGCCGGGCCAATCATGGGCCCAGGATGGGTGCCTGCTCTTTGGAAGCCCACCGTGTGAGCGTTTTTTTGTATGCGGCGTTTCGACATTGGGCGCAAGGGGGGGGAGGGGGGGGGGTCTGGCTCCGGACCTCTGCTCAATGCGACTGTTTGCAAGAGTGCTGCCTCTGGCTCGCCATCGCTCGGACATCCATTCCATGTTTTTTTCGGTTTCGTGCGTGGTTTTGTCGCCAAATGATCAAGGATGCTCCTGCATGGTCCTCGCCGAAGGGAAAATGCACACGTCCGAGCGATGCCAAGCCTGGGGGAGACTCCACCGACTCGAAACAGGCACCCCAAACAGCCAAGATCTACTCCACGGGGGGGCGGAGGGGGGGGTGCGAGGGCTGGCGCCGCTCGCAACATAACGCATAAAAAACGCAAAAAAACCCACCATGTGTACGGATAACATGGATATGATGCCCAACAACACATGTCGCCAAAGACCGGCAACGGCCGCTGCTGGGCAGGCGGCCTTCTGAGAAGGACCGCGGCCTCGCCGACAGCGACCCCTGCTCAGACCGAGCAAGAACTGCTGTTTAGAGGCCTCCCAGATGGGGTGCGAGTAGATGGGTCGAAGAATCGGGCCGCATCGCCAATGCATCGGCGACGCACTGGCGACGTCGGCGATGCATCGACGACGTGGGCGTGGGGAAAATCGGGCTCCGCATCGACCCGCATCGCCGATGTATCGCCGATGCGGCGCGATCGTCCGACCCTATCCACTCGGACCCCGTTTGGGAGGCCTGAACGGTCGGAATGCCGAACGCCAGCTCTTCTGGCATGCGTCCTTTCTCGATCCCAAACTGGCCCTGGAGGGAGGAAGGCAGCAGGATGGAAGAGTCACGGGCGGAATGAGGGTGTCATGGGCAGAAGAGGTGAGGCTCAGGCACAGAGACAAGGAACAAACCCAGGCTGGAGGCCCAGGCCGGAGGCCCAGGCTGTCGGACCTTGTACACGTACCGTCCCCGGCTTCGATCGCCCCGAGGCCCCGCCCCTGGCCTGGCCAGGAGGGCCGGGAGGAAGGAGGAGGAAGAAGAAGAGGGGGAGGAGGAGGAGGAGGAGGAGGAGGAGGAGGAGGAGGAGGAGGAGGAGGAGAAGGAGGAGCAGAAGGAGGAGCTCCCTATGGGGCCACGAAACGTGTGAGGGGGGTGCTATAATGGGGCGGGGATGCCATGCGAGTTCCGCCACTGGGACCTTAGGTGGAGCTCCCTATGGGGCCACGCAACGTGTGAGGGGTGTGCCAAAATTGGGCGGGGATGCCATGCGAGTTCCGCCACTGGGACCTTTGGTGGAGCTTCCTGTGGGGTCACGAACGCGTGAGGGGTGTGCCGAAACAGAGACATGCCGAGGACTGAGGCAAAGTGTTTTGAGAGTAGTGTTGCAGCTACAGACCTGAGAATTTGACAGGCAGACGCGGCATCACCCACTACAGGTGCGAAAAATACTGGTTCTCAAAACGAATGGTCGCATATCTCAGAATTCTCAAACAAAAAAACGAGCCCAGGTCGTCACGCGGGGCGCAGGAGGAGAAGGCGACGCGGGGCGCTGCCTCTTCAAGACGAGGACCCAACACCACAGGATGGCTGGGAACAAACCACAGCCGAAGTCCAGCAACACAGCGCACACGGCGTTACAACTCCCAAGCCCGGGCCAGCGGAGGGTGGAAACTTGGCATCGGCCCCGCGTAGCTCCCCACGGGGGGCCTGGCTGGCCCCTGTTGGCGCCCTCGGTACACGGTCCTCCTCTTTGCCTTGGCTTCGGGAAGCCGATCACGACTTGAACATGAACTTTCGGGGATCCGCGCTGACTCCTGGGAACGGCGCTGGAGCTCCCTCTCTGGCGCGCGGAACGCAGCAGGGGCGGCGCCGGAGGCGCCGCCAAGAGGCTCCAGTGCAGATCCAAGAAATCCGCGCGGCCATCCGACAGTTCTTGTTGATGCCATCGTTTCTTCCCTGGTGGACTTTGGACGCCCCCAAGTGGTCACTGGACTAGATGCCTCCTAGATGCGGTCCGAGTAGATGGGGTCGAAGGATCGCGCCGCATCGCAAATGCATTGCCGATGCATTGGCAATGCATCGCCGACGTCAGCGACGCATCGGCGACGTCGGTGCGGAGAAAATCGGGCTCCACATCGAGCCGCATCGCCGATGCATTGCCGATACGTCGGGGGTGCGGCGCGATTCTCCGACTCCATCTACCCCGACCCCATCTAGGAGCTCAAACATGCGACGTCCTGATTATTTCAGGACGGCGCCCCCAGAAGTCCCGACCCTTCCCCTGGGACCGGCTCTTCACCCGGAGCCCTTCCTTGACGGCCCCGGGGCCCGGCGAGGGCCTCCGGAGGCTGCAGAAGGCGAGAAACCTCCGCCCCGAACTTGGGCGCCCGAGTTATCCGGGGTAACTCGGGTCCGGGGTAAGTCGGGTTTGGATTCCCGAAAAAGGAACCCGAGTTATCCCTGACCCGAGTTACCCCTGATGATTCGGGGCTCTGGACGCCCGAGTTATCCGGGGTAACTCGGGTACGGGGTAACTCGGGCTTGGCTTCCCGAAAAACGAACCCGAGTTATCCCTGACCCGAGTTACCCCTGATGATTCGGGGCTCTGACGAACTGCTTGTCCCGACGCGAGCATGCCCGGGAGGCCCGGGTGGACGCCCCCCGACGCTGAAGAGCACCTCCGCCGCGGCGTCCACGGCCACGCCGCACGGGGAGCGGAGGAGCGCGGCCGCGGCGGGGCCGCCGTCCCCGGCGCGGCCCGGGCGGCCGAGGACGCCGGCGGCCGTGGACAGGGTGCCTGCCGCCGGCTTGGAGCCGCTGGGGTTGGCGGGGGGGGGGGCTAGAGAGAGAGGGGGGGGGGTGCACGGTGTCCCCGGGGGCCGCAGGCGACTCGAGGAGGAGGAGGAGGAGGAGGAGGAGGAGGAGAAGGAGGAGGAGGAGGAGGAGGAGGAGGAGGAGGAGGGGGAGGGGGAGGGGGAGGAGGGGGAGGAGCAGGAGGAGGAGGAGGAGGAGGAGGGGGGAGGAGGGGGAGGAGGAGGACAAGGAGGGGGAGGAGGAGGAGGAGGAGGCGGACGACGACGACGACGACGTGTCGCCTTAGCCCTTCGGGAAAACCCTCCAGGGGGGTGATCTGGCCGTCGGCGGGCGGACAAATAGTGCCCACACCCACCGCGCCAAGATGATGCGACATCAAACTGCGTCGAACAACTATCCATAGGCCCCCCCCAACCCAAAGTTGACGCGGTTGGATGCGAGGCAACGCGCGGGGGACAAAATATGGACACTACATCTTTGGATTTGGGTGTGAGGGGGTTTGGGGGTGAGGGTGGGCGAGCCATATGTATATTGCTTGATTGCCTTATGTCGAACCATATTGCACATGTCGTTGCCATCTTGCCTGATTATCTTCACGCCGTCCGCGGGACCGAACCGAACACGGCACGAACAACGCTACCAATACGGAGAAGAAGCTTACCCCAAGAAGACAAGGGAATTCGGTAATTGAAAACTGAAGAAGCGTCCCAAACGATTTCTATTGCATCGAAGCTCTAGACCCACTGGCCCTGAGGATCCAAATCCATCCTCATCCGAACATGGCCTCGCCTTTACCCTCCCTCGACGCTGCTACTTTTCTGGCGTGCCGGCCTCCGAACATCGTGCGGCCCCACAAGGCAAGATGTGTAAAACAACCGGCTGCCGCGCTATTCCTTTGGCAGCGCCAGAATCCGAGAACCGACCGATGCCCGACTCCGAAACCCGGACCTCCGCGAACGCGCGATCACGCCTGCAGCGGAGGCCGGCCCACGCGACACCTTCCGCAAAAAGCCCGACGCCGAGACCCAAGGACGTCCACTGGCTTTTGGCGTGGGAGCGCCACGCCTTCCACAACTCAACCGTCGAAGCTCAAGAAACCCGAGGCACCCTGGAGGCAACCCAAAGGTTTTTTGGCATGTGCCCCCGCTGGGCCCTGCACGGCTTCCCCAGGGGCCGTAGGCGATCCGATGTTGAGGAGGAGGAGGAGGAGGGGGAGAGGAGAAGGAAGCGGAAAAAGGAGGGCGAAGGGGAGGATGCTCTGGAGGAGGAGGAGGAGGAAGAGGAGGAGGAGGAAGAGGAGGAGGAGGAGGACGGGTCACCGAACACCTTCCGAAAACCCTCCAATTCCGCGGCAAAACCATCGACGTCCAAGAAACCCAAGGCACCCTGAAGGCAACTAGGGTTTTCCTTGGCACGTGTCCCCACAATACCTTGCACGGTTTCCTCCGGGGCCGTGGGCGACCCGAGGAGAAGGAGGAGGAGGAGGAGGATAAGAAGGATGAGGAGGAGGAGGAGGTGGAGGAGGAGGAGGAAAAGGCAACCATGGTGTTTCTTGGCATGGGCCCCGCTGTACACATCCTGTGCGTCCGCCAGCCTTCCGCTGCCCGCCGCCGCGGGACTGGCCCGCCGCCGCCTTACCTCCGCTGGCCTCCGCCGAGGGCGAGGCCACGCCTCCTCGTCCTCCTCCTCCTCCTGCTTCTTCTCCTCCTCCTCCTCCTCTTCCTCCCCCTCCTCCCCCTCCTCGTCCTCCTCCTCCTACTTCTCCTCCTGCTTCTCCTCCTCCTCCTCCTCCTCCTCCTCCTCCTCCTCATCCGCTACTCCTCCTCCTCCCCCTCCTCCCGCTCCTCGTCCTCGTCCTCGTCCTCGTCCTCGTCCTCGTCCTCGTCCTCCTCCTCTCCTCCTCCTCCTCCTCCTCCTCCTCGTCCTCCTCCTCCTCCTCCCCCTCGTCCTCCTCCTGCTGCTCCTCCTCCTCCTATTCCTCCTCCTCCTCCCACTCCTCTGCATGATGTCGTGGTGTCTGCCCTCCGCGTGCCGCTGGCCACGTCAAGCAGCCGGATCGCGTGGTTGCCTGGGGGGGAAAGAAAGACGGCCCAAAGCTTAGGTCGTGCATGTCCCCCTACAGGCAGGGCTTTAGACGAAAAATCAAAAATTGTCGACACAATGCACTAACATAAGCCAAACATAATAATAATAAGAATATTAATACTAATAAGAATAACAATAATAATAAACATAAGCATACGGATGATAATAATAATAATAATACTAATAATAATAATAATAAAAATAATAAAACAGCGTCCTCAGACTATGTTGTGACTACTTCGAGTCTCCCCCCCTGTAGAGGGACAGGCCCGACTGAACCCAAAGCCCTAACGCCATTTTTTCCATCACGTCGACCCCCCGGGGTCTTGACCCATTCCCTGGGGCCGGCTTTTCCTCCTGAGCCTTTCTTGGCACTCCCGAGGCCCAGTGAGGGCCCCCAGAAGCAGGAAAGAGAGAAACAACAAGACTCCTCGAGGTGTTCGTAACTCGAGGTGGTCTGGGGAAAGAACGAGAGGACACTGGCTCAGAGGGGATTGGGGACGCAGAGAGCCGGGTCAACACAAAGATGGCCACTCATAGCGCCCTGTCGCGAAGCCTGGCCGGTCGCTTTGCACAGCTCCCCAAAACACCAGCTCCAGCGGGGGTCGGAGAAGGGAGAACCGGCTCCACGTGGCTCCTAAACCCAGGTCAGCCAGAGGCGATTGGCTGACCCCCATTAGCGCTGACTCCCGTCAGCGCTGGTCCCAGGGGACAAAAAACGTCGACCTAAAACCACCGATGCATCGCCGATAGATTGGCGACGAAAGCCTAGTGACTACCTACCAGACCACCCCAACCCAACCCGAAGACCCGAATTGCGGGTTCTCCAAGCTCGTGACCGCGCTGCTCGCGCGGAGCTCCAGGAGTTTCCGTCTATGCGGTCGTTTCTCATTCCTGGGTCGCCGTTGGCGGGACAGCACGTTCTTTGGGTTACGTCGGGCCTGTCCCCCTACAGGGAGACTTTGGACGAAAAGTAACAAATAGTGAAACATTTCCCCACATTGCCCAAAAGCGCCCAAAACATCGTCCCCAGACTTGTTTTTAACCTGTTTGGGATCATCCCCCCTGTAGAGGGACAGGCCCGACTTGACCTTAGGGCCTGGGCCCTGGGCCCCGAATGGCGACGAACGGGCGATGGGAGACCGATGCTGCCCCCCACCCTGGGCTGGCATGACTTCGGGCCATGGCTCGGGCCTGTGAGGCGGCCGTGCGGGACGACGCGGGCGCCCCCTGAGAGCGCACGCGACGAGGCGCAGCTGCTGGAGAGCATCCTGGGGCAAGAACTCGGTCGAGCATGTCCCCCTACAGGCGGATTTGGGCGCAAAATGAAAATACTTTAAAGAAGTACCCCCCAATAGTCAAACATAATAGAAAAATCGTCCCCATAGTATTATTGTACTATTTTTGAATGTTCCTCCTGTAGAGGGACAGGCCCGACCTAATCCTGGGACATGAAAGCCTTCAAGAGCCAGCGAAGTCAAGAGCCAACGAAGACTTTCCGCCTCCACCCGGGCCCGCGCCTCCCTGTCGTCGCCCCTGGGCAGGGATCCGGCAGGCCTCGGAAGATACTGGAGTCATGTCGGGCCTGTCCTCCTACAGGCGGTTGTTGAAGAATAGTGGCTCGAATACCCCAACAAGAGCCAAACGTAGTCGAAGCATCGTCCCCAGGCTATTCTTTGACTATGTTGGAATATACAGGGACTCGCCCGACTTCTCGGGAACGGCCAAGAGGGGGGTGTCCAAGGGGGCGGGGCAAATCATCACCCCCCTCTTTGCCGCCCCCGAGCTTCATGCCAGCGAGCACACGTGCCGCGACTGCCCACGAAAAGTTGCCTTAAGGTCGGCCCGGGATCTGTCCACGGGGAGCGCTCCGACCAGGACCTCGGGGCGCACCTGGTCGTGGACACGACGGCACCCCGGGAGGACCTCGATCTTGAAACTGAGCAGAAAACTGCACACGGGGCAGTTTTTTAATCCAAAGGATGGTTAGAAATATAAGATTTTTAATACATGGCTAATTGAGGAATGCATTCATGCATGAGCTCACCGTTGTTTTCTTTAACTCGTCCCCTGTATTTTTAACACACAGGATCCGCACGCGGAGCATGTCTTAAACACGGCACTGCAAACACGACCTTGCCGAGGCCCGCTCGGCTCTCCTGGATCGGCGCTGTGGGCCCTCCCCCCGTGGCGCGCGGAGCTCCGATCCGAGAGCTCCGCGCGGAGCCCCGAGAGCACGTGATGCGATGTGCTGTGCTTCGCTGTCGGCGTCCCTTGGAGCAGGGGCCGACCGTCCCGGCATCCCTATTAGGCCTGCCGCGGGATCTTCTGAGAACCCAAACATGTACTAGAACGACAAGAACAATAACAATAACAATAGCAACAACAACAACGACAACAACAACAACAACGACAACGACAACGACAACGACAACGACAACGACAACCACAACCACAACCACAACCACAACAACCTCAACCACAACAACAGCAACAGCAACAACAACAACAACCACAACCACAACCACAACCACAACAACAACAGCAACAACCACAACAACAACAATCATTTTAAGACTGTTCGCCCTGATCTGCTCGAGTGTCCAATGACGCGTATTTCCCAAACCCTCGATACCCGCCCTCTTCGTCTTCGATCGAACCCCTTCTGGGGGGTACACCTTTCTTCCCTGCAGGCCGGGCCCCGGCAAGCGGCGGGGCGGCCGCGGACCGTCGGCCTGGCCAGCGGCAGCGCTGATCGGCGGGGCGGCCGCGGACCGTCGACCCGATCCCAAGAGGGACGGACAGGGGACCGACCACGACGACGACGACGACGACGACGACGTCGAAAACGACGGCGACGACGACGGCGACGACGAG